TGGCTGGGGAATTCTGGGAGTTGAAGTCCACACATCTTAAAGTTGCCAAGGTTGAAAAACACTGATTTAGATCTTCAGAGTGTTATCAGGCACACAGAAATGACGAGCTCAGCCTCAAGTAGCTTATAGTTGACCTGTTAGCCAAAGGTGAGATGTGGGTTTAGTTAAAAGGTTATTGATCAGAGTTTTTGCTTTTGCAAAAGGTGGGTAGGATAGGGAGGGAAAAACAAGAAGAGGTGAAGCTTGAATGAAGCCAAGGAAGGATGAATTTAAGAATCGCTCAACAAAGGATGGCTCTGCATAAGTGCTGAGATGAGTCTCCAGGAGAACAGACCCACAAGAGCCACATGGGAGAAAAGAAGGATGATTTATTTGTGATGCAGTAGTAAGTATAAGCAATAAGCACATTAAAAAAATAAGGCCCCCTTTCAGCTGAGCTCAATTTTGGTGACTTCCTGGATATTTCTTCTGCAGTAATATAAAGATGGTTTATCATTTCTTTCTTCCAGGTGGCTTTTTCCAACTTCCCAGTTTACACAACAGCCCTGGATTTTCCTGGGGATCTCCTAGCCAGGAACCTTGTTTCGCGTTTTGAGATTGGCCAAATTTGGTTTTATAAGAGTAGGATTAGGCACAACAAAAGTCTCAAGCAGGAAAGAACAATGAGGGAATCAAAACCGAAAGCAAAGAAACCTGGATTGGGCATCCAAGCAGATGGGAACTCGGAGGCAGGGTTTAAAGCAGGGTTAACTTGCCTATATCGGTGGGGAGAGAAAGATGTGATTGGAACAGGGGAATTTGGGGTGAAAGGGAAAGACCACAATGTGGGAAAGCACAACTGGAGAGAAAGGGGCTGAGTCAGCCAAAGGACTGTCACTCATTGCCCAGCAAACGTGCGGCCAATGTCAGCATAACATCAGCCCAAAGTTCATTTGCTTACTCTGACAAAGATAATATATTTTGTCACTGTTCACATGCAGAAAAGGAATATATGACTGTACTAGCAGGCTGTCGATGATCTCAGATGAGGAAGGAACATAAAATAGCTGTAAAACTATTTCATTGGCAACAGGCAAGCATACTTTCAGCAAAGGTGCTGCTGAAGCAGGGCAAGGAAATGTCAAAAACATGAACATCAGGATGATGTGCGCTCAGTTGAAATGCAACTACCATTTTGGCTTTGTTAATTACTTAAAAGCAGAAATGCAAAGCATCGAGCGGTGAATAAGATTAAGATGAAACGATGAATAGAATTTTAGGAAGTGTTTTCCCCCAAAAGTGCTAAACCATCCCCAACTTGGTACCCCCAGATGTGTTGGACTACAAGGTCTATATTTTCCAGCTACAAGTGCTACATTGCCTAGCTAGGATGGGAGTTGTAGTTCAACACGTGTGCAGCCTGCCTGATTGAAGAAAACTGGCATAGAGTTTGGGATAATCCCAGTTGACAATTGTCCCTGAAAGCACATAAAATTTAAAGGCCAGGACTCCTTTAAAAACAGTAGACAAACTGCTTTCTCAGCATATTTTTACAGTTTTAATTCAAGATGGCTCAGTTTTCCAGTTCCATCAATTTTGTTTGTTGAAATACGTATTTAAATACAGTGTAATTTTTGAAACAAAAATGTAAGTGCAACATGTACTTTACCTCAAAGCACACATTTCTAAATGCAGATTCTGCATGATCGTTTGCAGAGTGTTGCCTAGTTGGTCATGGAATAATTTTCTGGGGGAAACAGCAAGGACTGTGTGGCCTAGTGACTAAGCAGTGTTTCTCAGCCTTGGCAGTTTGAAGATGTATGGCTGGGGAATTCTGGGAGTTGAAGTCCATACATCTTCAAACTGCCAAGGCTGAGAAACACTGGATTAAGGTGTTGGACTGGCAGCAGGGAGACCGAGATTCTGGTCCCCCCTCAGCCACAGAAGCTCTTGAGGGACTTTGGACCAGCCACTCTGTCATCACAGCCTACCTCACAGGGGTTTTGTGGTAGGGAAAACTGGGATGAGAGAGCACCATGTACATTGACTTGATTTCCTGTAGGAAAGCCAGGCTAACAGAGTAATAAATAAATGTATGTTACATTTGCCAGGAAATTCTGGGAAATGTGGACATATAAGACTGCAGCCTATCTCCCTCCCTGCCCCTATGGATTAAAATGCCCTATTAGAGCTGGACACCCAACAGAGCAGAAAGGCGGCAAGTTCATCATGATGATCGAAGCTGTGTTTGAGCCCCGAGCATGAAACAGGTCAAACTGGACAGCTCACTCAGGTTTTTCAGTTCGAGATAGTTGTAGTGCAGTTAATGGGTAACACACCTGTTGGTTAAAATGACATTTATCAAGGGCAGATCCAGGGCAGTTCTGTGATGACCGGGTATTTTCCCCCCAACCCCCTGGCCGTTCTTCCTTTGACATTGCAGAAACTTAGGACGTGTCATTTAAGGCCGTTATCAAGGCAAAAATACATGCAAAAGGGAACACCAAATCTGACCTTTTAAATACCTTTGGAATGGTTTTTCTGGGTGGGAATTTGTAACTAGAACATAAAACATGACCTTAGTCCTGAGCTTTAGGCATAGGATAGGATAGGATAGGATAGGATAGGATAGGATAGGATAGGATAGGATAGGATAGGATAGGATAGGATAG